AAAGGAGGGCAACCACTTTAGTGGTATGCTTCTGTTACAGATCCTCTATCTATTGTTGAAGGATGGTGGTGCATTGGCTGTTGAGGCCTTATTACGATCGGCAAGAGATTGATGGTCGGATATATGATTTGGAACTAATTCTGGGGATGGAAGAATTTCTAAAATGGTCTGGCACCCCATGCAAGATATTTCACTTGCAGCAAAATATGAATGGCAGGAACCTCAACAATGCCTTCAAGTTCCCAAAAGGGAGAACGGGTGCAAATAACCTTGACAAGATGGTTGTTCACTTTATTAACAACATCAATAATCACCTTGGCAGGAATGAAGGAAACAGTAACAATCTTATAAAGAATCACATGTACTTTAACCTTTCCCAATATATCCGGCTTTTTGGGCCCCCTCCATCTGGATGGGATTCTTCTTAGAGCAAAAGCAACCACAAGAAGGAAGTTRAAGCTCCAGCAAAAAGAACGKCTCAAGTTTTCAGTTCACTGATCAAACAAACTGCAAAATGGCACATAGAGTACTGTGTGGTAGATAGACTCCATCGCAAGTTTGACATGTACCAAAATGCTCAATCACATMGTATTCCAAACATAAAGGAGGCTCTCTTTTTCCATTAGCCAATGCAATGGAACTGGTTTACCCTTTATGAAATGGGAAGCAAAAGAGAACCAAGACAAAAACCTTCCATGTCTGCATTCACATGTCATTAATATCTGTTGTAATCATGTTCTCCCAGCTGTGGAAACTGAGCTTTTATCTGGGTTCACRAAGCACAAGAGAACCGACACAGGAAGTTGCAAAAAGCTTCTCTTTCTTGCACACCCCTTGTATAAATCAGACAGTGGACAACAGTGCAACGTTTGGTTTGATTGGGCTTATTTTTATTGCACCTCACCAATAAAAGGGGAGTGTATCCCATGGATCACAAAGGACGTCCAGTTCTGAAGYGTTATCCCTGYCAGATACTGTGTTTTCTTGACATAGAGCAACCAATAGGTAATATGTCATTCAGTGGATTTGATCTTCATGACCCAGGGTATTAGGCAGTTGTCCGATGTTTTCAACACAATGAACCTATCACTAGCTACAGATCAGAAGCTAAYGGCTCMCCCATGGGCTTTGTAAGGAAGGTCACCTTACATGATTGCTKAAATATATTTCCATGTTCCAGTATCTATTCTGAGGTTGCCATTGTGCGTAACAACGGAACAACCAATGAATACTTTGTAGTTGGAAACAGGGGCAAATGGCTTACCAATTTCAACACAATATTGTCTGGAATGAAGGATACCGAACCTGAAAAGATTGTGTCAAACAGAAAGTGATGKTCAAGTTTTTTTTCCTCCCCAAGATCATTGCACAACTTCGCCTTTTCATTGGTCACTAGAAGTAGGAGGTCATAAAGATCCTTGTCRGACAGTACAGTCCACTGGTCAAAGATTATTTCTGTAGGTTGAACTGGAACACCACAATTACCCCTCCAAATGTATCGTATAGAGTTGGCGGAGTGATTCTGGCCGACCCAGTCGTACATTAGCAATGCTGGATATACGTACAYGTATATTGATGAATATTYGCYGGATGCCATACTCCCCCACCGCATTAGAAAGCTCTTTGAATGCTCTTTTTAACTCTGTGCTTATCATACTTAAGCGTCYGTTGGGGAMAAAGTTATGGCTGTTCAAGTGAGTTGAACCTCTCTTAATGYCCTACTTGCTTTTTGTACTGTGCGTCAATTTTGGGCTATCTAATTACCGTGTAATGACTCGTGGGATTAAAAATTTCACTTGTACTAGGCCTACAGTGTGCACGTGCRAGSGAAACTATTTGGCACGTGCAAGCAGGATTATTTTGGTYGCATGAATGTGGGATTCAAAAATTCAGCACATGCCCCACTGTACCTGTAGTACAAGTTAAATTTTTAATCCCATGAGTCATTACATGGTAATTAGATAGCCAAAAATCTATGACTGGGTCGTACATTTGCCCGTCAACTCTATACGATAGCCAAAAACACCAATTTATCTGAAGTTTGGCYGGTTGTGCTAACCGGACCCACCCCTTGCAGTGTGATTGCTGGTTTGATTGCTTGTGTTTTTTTGTTTCATCMGCCGTAGGTCCTAACCCGACCTCATTGTACAACTCCCTTCCCTCTAAATCATGCAATCCCGGTAACCGCACAACATATACCSGAGTATGATCCCCAGTGCCCATGCATACCCATCATTCTGACCATCAAGTGTACCACTTTTCTTGTCAAGGATGTTTACGAAGTTGACAGCCCTCAGCAGACCCAYCTGGCCTCTACCTTGTCAAATTGCCCCAACCTGCTGCAAAGTCCTCTTTCCACTGTTTCTCTTASTCCACACCCCTTTAGGATTTGTAATACCTGATGGTCATGTTTCTGAGCAATGGGGATATGTACTTCCCAAGGTATGTTACTAACCARCYCCATGGTGGGAACAATGACACCAGAACGCCRTTCAGCTAGATTTGAATTCAAATTTAAATCCATGGCACCTGTCAGCCAAGSAAAGCATCTGTGTATAAATGTGGACAAAAGTCTTTGTTATGGAGCAACCACAAATGCCTTGTATCTCAGAGACTGCTGGCATGGTACACTAAAGTTAATTACATGAGTAGGAAGGTGA